TACATTAGACTTCTGTAGATTATATTGGATAGGCATGTCCAGAATAAAGAATATCTTCCACTCTCTGAATAATGTAATGTTAATGTGCTGAAGGGAATACACATGCCAGTAGTTTATTCAAATATATTGTTAAAGGAACACTCCACTGCTCAAATGGGAAAAAACAGTTTAGTAGATATACCGTGTTTAGTAGATATACCCACAATAACTACATACATTAATTTTCATGCATGTATTCATTGGGAGTATATCTGGGTATTGGGGGTATATCTGAAAAGAGATTACAAAGGCTGCAGATTTTATGAACTGCAGCCTTAGCAAACCCTCCCCTTTTTTTCCCGCAAGAGACTTTCAGTCTCTTCTCAGAAAAATAACCAATGGCCTCAAATTGGAGCACACGTGTGGTATGAAGTCTTGAGGAGCTGGTCTGAGGTCTGTAGGGAGAACGTTGAGGCACATCGCACTATTAGTTAGGTAGGGTGACAGAATTATATTAAATACCTATCAGATCTGCCAGTTTATTGATATTTCGGAGAGAATAAGCAGCACTCAATTCATGGGGAGAGAGAAGATAACATAATAGGCAAGGATATGTCAAGACAGGTTTTGAAGCCTCAGCATCGCCCTTTGCTGCTCTCAACCCACTATTTCTTTGGTTTATGTTAATTTTAGATCCATGTTTTACATTATGCTTTTCCTCAACTCCCCATGACTTCAGTATAGGTTCCCATATCTGCCAGCATCTCTTCCCTTCATTATGGATCCCACTTGATTTCAGGTCCCCCTCCCCATCATTATAGCCCACCTCGAATCCAATGTCAACCCATTTCAATACAAGTTCCTCCCCATTTTGGATTTCAATTTCTTTCAGTATAGGTCACTGTTTATTGTAGATACCAATCCCTCAAAGCATCAACTCATTATGCAAAAGGCTGCTTTAATTATTGGACCCCTTCCTTCCAGCACCTACTTCATTCAGCATGAATCCTCTCCCTTTACTATTGATGTTTCTCCCTTCATAACATTTCTACATGTGTATAGTGACTTAGAATAAAAACAAAGCATTATAGAAAATAGGAGATGTATGATGTGCTCCCCTCACTTCTATAACCCATTCCTTTTATTATAGATGCATTATAGGCAGGTCCGCATTTACACTACAATATTGAGAGCCAGCACTGCTTACATGCCTGGCCTCATTACAGGAGAATGGGTTAGCCGATGAGCTAAACTTTCGATGTCCTCTCCGGCTGGACCACTCAAGACAGTGGCCTTGGAGGCCTTGTGGAAAATTGTGCTCTGATTATTGGTCACCTGCCCCTCATTATAAATATCTCAGGACTGGACAAGAAAAGGAAAACAATGTGGTTGTTGATCAATGAGGAGCTGTTTGGACCATGAAGAGCTGATCCTTTCATAACATTGGTGCTTCCGGTTGGCTTCTACCATAGAATATCCATCTAGGGAAGTAGGAGGAATGTTTACTAGTTCTGCACCCAATGTTGCTTTGGTTACAGAAAAATAATAATTTTGATCCTTGGTTAATTTCATCTTAGCTATTTTTCACCTAAAACCTTTCAAATTGGTTGGGACGTCGCCAACAAATTCTTATTGTGAACCAATAGTTTTGCAACAGATGACAGAAGAAAAAATACACACACATGCACAAACAAAATGACATGACATTGCTCTATAAATGTACTATAGTCCAGGCATTATCTGTACTTTGTGCATTTAAATGACAGTTATATTGAAATGCAAGACGCAAACCTTAGAGCACACTGACATCTAGTGGTGATGTATTGCACTGACAAATAAATCGCATTTGTGCTCACTGTAGCTAAGTTACTGTTATGGATGTATTCATTTTGTATACTAAAAAAAAGTTAGTGTTTATTTACTAATTCAGGAATTGTAGAGAATTGGGCATATAAGAGTAAAAATTGCAGACTATATGGTATATAGGAGAAAAAGAAAAAGACCTACAAATGTTCCTAAGAAGCAGTGATACATTATATAGCATATTCATCACGACACTACGTAGGGTTATTGAAAGTGCTTCCCTGCAGTTTGTAGTATTCATACGCTACAGCATTTTTCTTTGCAGGGTATCACTTTTCACGTGCTGCTCATGAGTTTGTATAAGTTATAGGTGTCCAGGAAAGTTATGAAAATGGCGACTTGTATTTGTGGTTATAAAGATGACATTAATGTTCCTACAGTCGACTTTTATTGTTATCTAATTTATTCTACGTCACCTCGCTGTGCTTGTATGTACAATAATGTACTGTAAATGTCCCTCAGTCTAACATGATTTATCCTCTAAGTATTATACCTCGCTATATTGCAACTCAATGACTAGATCAAAATGCCATCCTCACTCACTTTATAATGTTTTAATCTGTGTAAAGCACCCGGGAAAAGGGTGCTATATAAGAATTGTTACATAAATACCACTTTGACTGTGTATATCATATAAAAAAGTTTATGATTTTGCTGTAACGAATAAAAGTAACTGTCACACTTACTGTGCTTCTGTTGTAAGTTAAAAGGAGCTGTTTAAATTTTAACATACCTGTATGGAAAATGAGCAGACAGTAAGGGCAGCTCATCGCCAATAAATGAAGCCCCTTAGTAATATTTATTTTAGTTGTAACAACATATATGTCCACAAGGTGGCATCAAGACTAGCATAAAACTAGCATAAAACTAAATCAATTACCATTTCCGTAAATGCTGATTGGCGCAGCATGGCGATATGCCATGCATGCGCACTAGTCTCCAAATGCTTTCTTATGGGAAATCCTGATGATCTCAGCTGGCAGAGGCGGGGCGGCCACAGTGAGACCAGCACTCCGGGTAAATAAAGGTAAGTAAAACATTCCCATTTTGACTGCTTTGACTTAAAATGTGTATCTCCTTTGTCAAACATGCACATCTCATAGTTTAGTGAATAACTTTAGATATGTTGGCACAAAGCAACAAAATTATGCTTCCACTCTTTTAGGACTCTGAGATGTTTCTACCACTAAACTCCCCTAACCCCTTTCCCTCTCTCTGGTATTGTCTCATCATTCTGCTAGGATACAGGTCCCCCTCTACGACTTAGCATAGTCTGCTTCTTTATTCTCTCTTATTTGGGGCTGTATTAGGGTCATCCCCTTCCTCTCCCACCTTTTTTTTATTTCAAATTTTTCTCTTTTGGTTTCTTTTCCACTCGTAAAACTTATTTATGAGCCACCAACAGTGACCAATTCAATTTCCAATTTCCCCACCTTGACTGGGTTACGTTTTAGCTAAGGCCAATCTTGGCTTGATAGCAAACAAACGTTGTACGAGAATGCTGAGAACGGACAACAACTCAAGTAGCATGCCCTTCGGTGGGTCCTTGCTAAGTTCTCAAGTTGGTTTTATGTCATCTTGTGCCATTACAGAGAGAACCTTAACCATTTGGTTTTATGTCATCTTGTGCCATTACAGAGAGAACCTTAACCATTTGCATATCAGACTGAACCCACACATTAGGGAAGCCCACATCCAAAATGCAGGCAGGTTCGCTCAACACGAAAGACACAGCAACCCCAGACAATTATTTCACCCTTGTTAGACCTCATAAATGAGGTATAGCTGATACCCCTCTAGGCACAGTGAGCAAGAGGCATATGTCTGGATTACCCTTTAACATGAAAGAGAGCCAACAAACTAAAACACATGCAAGAGAATAGTGAGAATGCACAACCCCTCAAACAGCTTGCCCTTCAGAGCATCCCTGCTCAGTTCTCAAGCTGGTCTTAACTCAAACCTAAACCATTAGAGCATCAGATTAATCCCATCCAAAAGGGTGGTTTATATCCAAAATGCTCACTCTTATGTGATAATCGGAGGCACTGGTGTACATATAGCGGTCGCAAGGGTCGCAGCTGCCTGTCACTCCAGGTGGCCCAGCTGCCCTGCAGACCCCTGCGACCGGGTGCCCGCCATCATCATTTGTGGCCCCGACCCGCACGGCAAACCGCCGGGGGCCACATTTTAAGATGCCCATCGGGTGACCCATGCTGTCAGGGCCACCCGATGGAGATGGATTGTCAGGGGGCCCTGTCAGCGCAGCGGTGTTATAACAGCGCAACCGGGCCCCCTGTGATGAGATCATCACATGCTGGGAGGAAGTGACTCCTTGCTAACACACAGGAACTCTGACTCCCATCAACCTGAGCCACCACTGGACCCAAGGGAAAGTCACACTCCTGCACCTAAAATGTAGGAAACAGGAGGGTGACTTAAATATTATGTGTGTGTGTGTTTGTTTGTAGGTACGTGTCTGTGTCTGTCTGTATGTATGTGTGCCTGTATGTGTCTGTATATCTGTATGTATGTGTGTGTGTGCCTGTCTGTTTTTATGTGTGTCTTGTGTGTGTCTATCTGTCTGTTTGTATGTATGTGTTCTTGTCTGTTTGTATGTGTCTTTGTATGTATATTTGTTGTGTGTGTGTGTGTATGTGTGCCGGTCTGGTTGTATGTATGTGTCTTTGTATGTGTCGTGTGTGTATGTTTGTGTCTGTATGTATCTGTCTGTCTGTCTGCCTGTGTGTGTCTCTGTGTGCATTATTTATTTATTTATAAAATATTTTACCAGGAAAGATACATTGAGATTTCTCTCATTTTCAAGCATGTCGTAGGTATGCATGTGTGTGTGTGTGTCTGTCGGGGGTGGGGGAAAATTAGAGGGGGCGGGGGCATGGATCAGTTTCGAACCGGTTCCCCATGGGTTGTGTGTACGCCACTAGTCGGAGGTTACACTTTATCATTCATGTGTTTACATGAGTACTTTATAGTAGTAGATTTTATTTACTAGTCTGTGCATTTCTTATATTTTTTGTCTTGAACAAATATTTTAATATTAATGTTTTACATCATATCATTATATACAAAATAGGAAGACAAAACATTCCTCACAAATAAACTGTAAACAAATTATTATTTTAAATCATTTTTATTCACAATCACATTTTTTTTTATCTAAATTTGTACTAGGAATTCATTATCGTTGTAAAACAAAGCACAAAATAGTAATAAATAGATGGAAATAAATTGAAAATGTAAAATAAACCAAAAACAAAGAAGACCCCCACTTTCATATACATTTTACCAAAGAAGATATAGAAAGGGGCAAAGGAGTTCTTTTTATGGCTATAACCTGCACTTTTTATTACACCACAATAAGAGGTTTGAGCACTCAGTAACTGCTAACAATTGGTCCACAGAAAGAAGAGAACATATTTACAAGAAGTGATCGATGTATCAATGCATTGAGAAACAAACAAAAAAAATATGACAATGATTTTTCCTAATGACACAAATGTATTTTCTTCACTATTATTATCAGAACAGTACCATCCCTGATACGGCAAATTTGTGAATTTATTAACTAGGCAGCAAGTTGTACGGAGTAGAAATTTTATTTTTATTTCTGATGTACTTTCATCACAACTCGCTGTTTAACCCCTTAAGGACCAAACTTCTGGAATAAAAGGTCACACATGTCATGTGTCCTTAAAGGGTTAAACCTCATGATTTGTTATTTTAGTACGAACAGCAAGCCCCCGCCCAGTTAAATAATAGAAGGTATGACATGAATTGAACAGTAGACAAGATGATACCAATCCCTGCATGAAACCAAGGATGGATAAAGTAATTTGGGCACTTTAGTTCACCTACAATAGGAGCGATGGTCCATAGGGGTTATTTAAGATGCGATTGGTCATCGGATTAGTCTCAGACCGATTCCCCGGTTATTTAGAGAATGTTACATTGAAAACAGGCACAGTTACGTTTTATTCTTCATACAGTTACACGTTCATTTAACATACACGTTAATACACCATACTGTAGAAATATATATCTTGGGTTGGAAGGAGAGTGATAGTCAGTAGGAGAAAAGTCAGGCACTAGATTGGAATAATGACAGTGCATGATCCGTGCATGATAAATATGAAAGGACAGCTCTGGTCGAGCCCCCAGGGAACATTAAATGAGGGCTTGATGACAATGGGTAGCATTGACAGCTTTTTGTGTACTTCTGAAAGCAAGTGAGGATAAATAAGTGGTAGATCCTCACAGCACCACCTACGCACATAAGGATGCCTATACCACACACTCAAGGTACTTAATAAATTTACTGAAGGCTGTTAGTCTACTCATGTTCATGAGCTATATTCCTGTTGTTTCACGCAAACAGATAAAATTCACAGGACAACATCTTAATTAAAAGAACACGCCAACACTACCGCTCTGGTGGAGTAATCTGTCATTCCATTTTAGAACAGTTTCACAGGTGTCTACATCACATCTATCTTCCCCTGCTGGACAAGCTGGGTGTCTTCTCTGAGCTTAGCCTTTCCAATCCAGGACTATGCTCATTGGCTGAGAGCTCTCATCTAATAAGCTTAGCCTAATGGACCTAATGGGATGGGCACCCAGCAAGACATAGTGGTTATGCTGCTTGGAGTGTTTCTGAAAGGGACACTGCAGTTACCATTTCATCTCTGCCAGCTGGTTATGGTGCCTGTAGTCCCCTGCCACTGTCCCTCCATTGAGTATTAAACCATTTTGAGGCAGTTTAACATTAAATGATGGTTCCTGGATACCCACAGTCCTGTCCCTACAGAAGGTATGGTTAAGGCAGAAATTACAGACTTCCTTGTAGCCATACTTATTTATACTGGCAATTGGGGGATCTGATAGGCTAAAAGTAGTCAGCTGCCACTATCAGCCAATCACAGCCACCCATTGCTGTTCAGGCTAATACTTCCTCATTAGCCCAAGCAGCACTGAGGGGATGGGCTGCTGGTGACTCTCGTTTAGCATTAAAACATAAGAAAATTAAAAACGGTTTAACACTCAATGGAAGGACAGCATCAGAGGACTCCAAACACTATAACCAGTATTTAATGTAACTGAAACACTCTCCAAAGGTAAAAAGGCATTGTGTACTTAAAGGGACACTCCAGGCACCCAGATCACTTCTGCCCATTGGAGTGGTCTGGGTGCTAACTCCCACTACCCTTAACCCTGCAACTGTGAATATTGCAATTTTCATAAACTGCAATATTTACATTGCAGAGTTAACTCCTCTTCTAGTGGCTGTCTATTAGAGAGCCACTAGAGGGCACTTCCTGGTCTATAGCACAGGTTTTCTGTGCTATAGCGTCGTTGGACGTCCTCACGCTATGTGAGGACCTCCAGCGTCGCTAAAATTCCCATAGGAAAGCATTGAAAGCATTTTCAATGCTTTCCTATGGGGAGGTCTAATGCGCGTGCATGGCATTGCCGCGCACATGCATTAGGTCTCATCCCGCCGGCGGCTGCGGGTGTGGGCGGACCCTAAACCACCGCCGAGGGACATCGGCGGTTGTCTCAGGTAAGTCACTGAAGGGGTTTTCACCCCTTCAGCAACATGGGATGGGGAGTGGGAGGGAGAGTGGACCTGCAGTTCCAGTCACTGGAGTGTCCCTTTAAATACTATCAATAAATATTTTTATCGACAGAAATCAAAGCTGCTTCCTAATAAAAAAGAAATATACGAGTCACGAAACAACAGGATATAAATTATAAAGTATTGTTAAACAATAGAGAATATAATAAATTTCTTTACTTGAGATATTTGTTTTTGTGCAAGCCTGGTATTTAACACCTTGGACTAGTCATGCATTCCCTTTTTTTATTTAAAATGTTGTAAAAAATATAAAAGGGTATTATCACTGTGCTGCATTCAACTAAACAATGTAAACATCCATTTTTTAAAAATGCTTTTCTTCCATTCACAAAAATGATAGATTTGACATGCAATAAAGGAGTTAAATAAATATGGAATATTTTAAAAAGCGTGGCAATGTTACAGAGGAGACAATTGGCCAGGCATTTTACACAACATACAAAATACATAATCTCATTTATTGAACATCAAGTGTCCTCACACCCCGGAGGTGTCCTGATCATTAAATTATCTTTGCTGCTCCTTCATACTGTTTGAGGATATATATCGATTTAACCCAGCTCTCGAGATTATTAGATTCTTATTATGCCACTAAAATATTTCTAGATAAAAAAACAAATACGCATGGTTTATAGAATGCATGATTAAAGATGGATTCGCATAAAACCAATCTCATTTTAGTTTCGGGAGCCTTTTAATCATCTACAAAAATTGTGAGTGCATCTAACCCCACATTCTATCTGTGTATTTAAATTGTAAACTTTAGAATTAAATGTTTGTCTTGTTTACCTATTGTACAACGCTGTTTAATATGTTGGTGATTTCTAGTTAATTGAATTGTATAATGCTATATGAGGGTAGGTGACTGAGTTTCCTCCAGTGATGTCCTTTTCAACAAGGAGATAACCATCTACTGTCCTCCCTATTTTTCAATTACTATTGGAAAATCAAAGCACAACAGTCTCATGACATCATAAACGACATGTATGACATCACACATGAATAATAATCATAAATGAGTGAAGAGGCAATGCTTCCACCAAAGAAACAAATGAAAGATGATTAAATAATCAGTATAGATGTCAGTGGTAATGGACTTCAATGGGACCTGTAGGTTCTAAACTTGCACTCATTCGTGTTAGTGGGAATCTGCTGGGGTGTTCGGTGAACTTAGCTTACAGCCGTATGGTCACCATAATGTCTTGAACAACTGAGAGATGTGATGAGAGGCAGGGATAGTAATAAAGACAGTAAATAAAAAACACAAAACAATTTATTTTTCCTGTGTTTGCACAATTTCTAAGATGCAATAAAACCTTAGATAGTGATTCCAGGACGGTGCAGTTTGAATTTTGAAAATGTGCCTGTAATGATCTATTACACCATGTCTTGATGCCCGGTATGCTAACAAAGAGTCTAATGATTATCATTTAAAAATATAAAATGACATCTTCCTTCATAGTAAATGCTCCTGGTATTACGCTTTGCGTCATCCTGCATTTCTGCAGATGTGCTTTATAATGGTTGCCAAAATCCAATTTGTACATTCTTTTAGATCTGGATGACTACAGCTTGTGGCTTTTTTACTTTTTTTTCTTTTCTCTCGCTGAATAACTCAATTACAATTTTTTTTTTTAAACCCACATTGTAAATCTGATGCTGAATATCAGGCAAAATGCAATAAATTACCCTTTTATCTAACACAAGGTTATAGGGACATTCTAAGCACTATAACTACTACATTGTGCTGTAGTGGTTATGGTGCTTGGAGTGTTAATTTAAAGGGACACCATAAGCACCCTCCCCAATAAAGTTTCTTGCAGGGGTTATTATGCCTGAATGCATTGTGTGTAGACCCTCCACTTTTGTTTTTTTCAAAATGTTGTAAACCCTTGAGGTTACCCAATGCTGTCCTCTCATGTCTCCCATTTTATTATGAAGTTTTTTCTACCAGTATTTTTAAAGATATGTATATGGTATGGATAAGCATTCAATTTTCACATCATGAGATGACAGGCTCTAAGACCTGGGCTTTAGTAGGATTTGGCCATGCTGAATCACTGCTCCCCGTTCGGTGTCACCGAATCCCCCCAAATTTAAGTTAACACAGCTCCAGAGACACAGAAAGGCTGCAGCAATTCGGCTACACAGACCAATAGGCGCATCCAGAGCTCAAGGCACGGGGCACCGCTGGATATTCTGCCGGCCACATGCAGTCATTGAAATACAGATTCACAAAACATAAAAATATGTATACAGTGACAAACACTGGCACCAATTTAGACATGCAGCTTCTCCTATGACACTGATACCCCCATTCCTGCCTGACAAATCAGTTGAATGCCTCCTCCTCTGTATGTGAAGCAGGGTTAACAAGTGGTGGTCCTCACACTTTAATTAACTTGGAGGCAAGTATTTGGTGACCGAGTGGGGTGTGACCACTCTATTTGCTCCTGCTGCCAGTCAGACATAAATTGGTCTGCATGGCATGGTGTAAGCATGCGCGGTCTGGATATTTGTACGGCTAAACACATGATTAGAATGTCATATTTTATCAAAGGCAGAGAGGTAGGGCTTTGAGTGCTTGTTAATTCCACGTTTTTTGTCAAACCATTTAAACACATTTCTAAAAAACAAAAACAAAACAAAACAAAACAGGATTACACCCATAGCATACTACGATGTAGTAGTTATGGTGTGTGAAAGATTTTACTTTGATTCCAAGGTTCAAGCTAGGATAGGATGTCATATTAGATATCCTATATTAAAATTGGCTAACTTGGACTCAGGAAATGCTTAATGCTTAAAACGGCACGTAAGACATGTCTGGTTCCGGGAGCAGATAGCCCCCACCTGAGCTGTCTCTCCTAAATCATTCTGTTCTTTCTCTTTCTCGGAACTTATCTGTTTTATGTACACAACGTTCATCCCTATGTCTTATCTGTACTCCTTTCACCATTTCACTCCCTTCCTACTACTTTCCTATGAGTATTTACACGTAAGCACATACTAAAAATAAACGGAAGAGGCTTATTTTGAATACCAGCAGGTGTCTGGTGCCTAATTCAAGCTCCTCCAAGTGCACTTAACATAACAAATTTGGGCTCCCTTGAATATACCAAAGATCACATTGGATCTATCAGGTGATTACAGCGCTCCAACCACCATAATCACTACAGAGAGCTATAGTGATTATGGTACCAGGAATCCCCTGGAGCTAACCAAATGCAAGCTTCTTGTTACTGACTTGGCTGTGTGGATTGGCTGCAATCTTTCCAATTTGCCTGGCAATGCTAAAGTGTATTTTAAGATTTCCACTTTTGCATAATAACACAGACACACTTTGAACATTGTGCACTGGCTGGGAGCATCAGCTGACAATGCTCAACCAATGAATAATGTCCAAAGTTGAACATCCACTATGGTATGGCAAGGCAGACCAGAAGGACTATGGTTGGGAGAAAGAGCCAGATAAGTGTTAAGCCATTTGAATATGGTTTTATAGCTTACAATGGGAATTCCTGGCACCATAACCACTACAGCTGGCTTAGAGTGCCACATCTTGCTGTGCTGACTCCTATGACATTCATTCAGGAATGTCTAGTTCTTAATTCACGTATTATGGAAGAATTTCAGAATATACCATCAGGATTATATTATTACACAAAATTTAAGAATGTCCTACAGTGAACTAATCACAAAATAATCAAAGAGAAAGCACTTTATAAGAGGATTATTATACTGAATACCACTATATAACACCAACACGTTTCTGGGACTCCTGTTCGACACAAATTCATACTCCACATTTAACACTCTCTAATCTAATACACAGCTGACCATTAGCAAAACATGGCCACAGAAGATTCAAGGTGTCACTTGTCCACGGAACAGGTAGATTTAGTAAGAGGCGACTAGGTGGACAATACAAACTCCCTACAGTTATTTCCCAGAGGATTTGTCACCCTTTAATGTTTCCTTTCATAGTAAACCTACAATAATATACAATTCTCTGAACTCTGAGGCAGATCGAGACTATCTACGTTTGCCCCTTAAAATAGATATCCATCGCATCTTATTTTGTGAAAGGTTCCCATGAAATTAAACAATTGAATAAAAGCATTAAACCACAGATCACTTGCACTGTCCTTTGTTTATCTCATGTTCCATTGTCTTTGAAACATTTAGTAAAAGGACGTCACAATCTACTTCACTCCTGTTTTCTCCTAGTCGTACAATGTTCCCTCCCAGCCATTGGTTATCTCAGCCTTCACCAAGATATTTGATGTACGTTGATGGGAGGTCTCTATGCTGATTGAAAGGTGCAAATGGTTTTGTTTTGAATGATACGAAATGGTAGTGTGTGTAACAATGACTGACGGGATACAAGTAAATGCAGCAGTGGAGTTCTACTGTAATTTGTATTTTTCATACCTTACAGATGCACGCCTGGTAAGTATAGGGGATATGTAAACATAATCTTGAAAATCCTGGAAAGTGACAGATCCCCTTTAAGAGTGATGGAATGGAACTGTATCCTGGGGTTCCAGCCTAGACACATTGTAACTCTGTGTAGTAGCTAGACTAGGCAGCCCCTTCAAAAACTTACTAAGATGGCTTTATTAACACAGCTCCCATCACACTAGCAGTGTAATGAGATCACCAATGATTGTCTACTGATTGGCTGGTAAAAGCTAGGAAAATGCATTTTGTTTTCGTTTCCCTTACCTAAATAAAATTAAAAAATCAGGTGTTATAACCTGTATGTTGTGATCTGTATTTTGAGGGTGATCTGCTCCTGAGGTACCCCAAATCAACGTCTGACTTTTTTCCTATGCTGTACAGTTACCTTTTTTTTTTTTTTCTCATTAAAGTGAAAACATTGGGATCAGTTTAGAGGCAAAATTCGAAAAGAGGAGCAATTACCATGGAAACCAACAAAAATGTTCCATTGAGTGATCCACATTTAGAACTTTCACCCAGAATTGCCCTTTATACAAGATCCCCCCATCTCCATGTTCCATGAAGACCCTTTATCAGTCAGAATTAACAGCATTACGAAAGGGGTAGAAGTGGCTACCCCATTTTTTATATGGGCTTTTTTGTTTGTTTGTTTACTTACAACAAAATAATTTCCTATTTTATACCACAAATGGCTGCCCCAATGCGAAAAAGGGTTAATACAAAATACATTACAAAATGCTGTCTTCACATAGCAGATACACATAAAAATAGGGACAACGGGTCCGGCAATGGTCAAACAAACTGTTAACAGTAACAAACAAATTTCACAGTTCCAGTATATTTAACATGGGTTTTAAATCAAATTATTGTTTTGGTGATCATTGTGTACAAAGATCTTTAAACCCTGGATGGAGGTTTTACATTGAGAGATACTTTTGATCAATGAAGATTTATATTGAGAGATACCTTCATTTTGTATTGAGTGCAGATTCAATATTTTCTACCGCCTAGCAGGTTTTAGGAATACAGTAAGAAGCGATTGAAAAATTTGGATAATTAGTCATTTGCAAGTTATGTACGCCCCTTTCACACCCCTTTCATGTTCACCAATAGTGATGGTGAGTTTATAACTATGAGGCTTATTCACTAAACAGTAAACATTGACAATTGTATTGCAAACTTCTTTTCATAAAACAAAATCCCTGTTTGTGCCTAAAATGAGATTAATGCCAAGTCTGTAAAACTCACTGTTGAGTGAATAAACCAGAAATATGTAATAATTATACAATTGATTTTAATATATACATCATGTGGGTTATAGAGGCGTTTTTAATCTGCTAAACTGACCCAAACCTTCAGCAACGCCTTAACATTCTAACATTCACCCAAGGATTGATGAAGATGCCAAGCTGAACTTTTAACTTTATACTCTGCCTTTAAAAAAACCCAATTCTTTAGAAGGTAAGAATTTGTATTTTACATAAAAAATTTACTCAAATTGAATTTAACATTTTAGGCTCTAATAGTTGAATTGGAAAATTTCAAGTTGTCTATGTTTCTAATTTGATTTGACATTCACTCTAATGCTAATACTGTTATTTTTTTTCAGATAATTCCTGCTTAGATATTTTGAGCATCCTATACTGAATTTAAAAGATATACATTAGGTTTTGTGTAAATAATATTTTCTACCCCCTAATACTGATAGTGAAGCCCTTACACAGTAATATAAAGAGAGGTGGGTAATACCTGCACTAGTGGGTACATCACATTGTATGATTTGGGACTGATCACAGTTTTATTCATTAATTTGGATTCTGGGGGAATGACAAAAGCCGTTTAATTTTAAGGATAGCCAAATAGGAGCACTCTTCTAGTTTAGTTATTTGTCCTGAACTCTGTAATCGCTTTATCGCTTTGTGGTTTGGTGAATACTCCTTACTCGTACATAGCAATTTCTTCTCCTTTCCTCTAAAAATAAGTATCAGAGTAGTTACACATGTCTCAACATATGAATCAATGTGCCAAACACTGTGTGTTTGTGTGTGTGTGTATGTATTTACAATAATTAAGGATATTAATTTAAAAATGTGGTTTAAGAATGATGATATTCTGTGTTGGTTTATTTATTTTGAACTGAGATTTTACCATTACCCTTAGCAGGAACAGCAATTGTTGCAGCAATCGTACTAGGTGGTAGTGGTGATGGGAAGGGGTGTGAAAGAGTTGCACTTATTCCGTTGCACTTATAAACTTGAGCAACCAATGCTCTGCTGGGTTCTCCGAGGGCTAAGTTATCATTTAAATAGAAAAGAGGGATAAGGTATTCTGCAAATAATGCATGTTGATTTTCCTTACATTAAATGCAAAAAAAGTATGCTTTCACAAGATTATGCTTCCCTGACATCTTGTTGTCCAGACTTGTTTCTCATTCAGAACTGAAACATATTGACACTATTTCAAGAGAGGTGTCTCTGGTTTCATCTAGAGAATCTTAGAAACTTGTTGAGTACCATTTGCAAAATATCCTTTTGGATGTTATCCCCCTGTTCTGGAGTTGTCTTTTAACTACTGCGATATGTTTTAATAATGTCTTTGATAGCACGTCTGCAGATGGGGCAACAAGCATTGTTTATCTTCTTCAGCTTCAAGCCACACGTGTAGCACAAGCACATGTGACCACATGAATATATGACTGTATCCACCATGTTTTCATAACAGATTGTACACTCATCATTCCAGGATCCTGAGACTGAAGGGGAGATGGGCGACTCAGGCATGCTCACTGGAGAGTTTGGAGCGGTACCTGCAAGTAAGAATACGTTAGCCAACTGATCAGTGATAACTACTGTTACCTATCATTCCTTTCAACCCATCATCTCCCCAAAGTGTCTTAAAATGTTTAGATTTCCAAAGATTATCTTTGAAAACTCTTACACTATGCAGGAAGTAACAAAAATAATTGTCTGATTGACCGCCAGGAGGGTGTAACAAGGTTAATTTATAAATGTGCCAATTTCTATTGAAATTTGCACTTTTAGTAAAATTAAAAAAAGAGGACACACTATTCATACATTAACCACTTTAGCAAACTAAACTGCTTTAGTTGTTTGGTGGCTATGTTACAGTTAAAGTGCAGAAATCAGTTAATGTGCACATTACCTAGTTAATCTGCAGATTAACTAGGGCGATCAGTTAAAGTGCAGAAAATGATTTCGTTTCTCAAATATTTCTCACATTACCTAGGTAATCTGCACATTACCTACTAGACAGTCGTTAAAGTGCAAAAAAATAATTCTGTACTCCACCTCTTTGAGGGGCTCACAGCTCTGGAGGACACCATGGTGAGCACAGGCTGCTGTTCTGTTCTTGTCTGGACCACATACTCACATACCTCTTCAAACAGTTATCCCGAACTGGTAAGAAACGAGGAGCTCCCGCCACCACAAGAGAGCGAGCGCTTCCTGCACTTTATGCAGCAACACCCTGAAATGATCCCAGCAGATGCTCTCCACTGTTCTCAATATCATCATATATTTGAAGACTGTCGGAATCAGTGGTCCATGAGCAGACCTCTCCTTGGTCTCATTCTCCTCAATGAGAGAAGTATTTCTCAGACGTACGGAGCAGCACTGTTAGTAGCCAGCCCCCCCTCTGAGAAGCAACAAGCCATGTGTCTATGCTTTGAGAGTTTGATGGTGGAGGGCATTGAAAGGAACTTGCTCACAAAAAGAATCGAGACAGGTTCACACAGAATCTTTCTGCCTTCAGACGAGAAGTGAACGACTCTGCAGAGACTGCAGTGAAAGGGTGAAACAGGTTCTGCGAGGACGTTTTTGTAATAAATAATTTCCTCTTTTACCGAGGGAAAGAAACAAACATTTTGCACTGAAAGGGTGAAACATGGTTCTGCAAGGACGTTGTTTTTTGTAATAAACAATTCCTCTTTTACCGAGGGAAAGAAACAAACATTTTGCACTTTAACTAGACGGAAGCAGTTAATGTGCACATTACCTAGGTAAAGTGCGGAAAACTCTTGATTCGCACTTTAACTGAGAAAATCGGTTAATCTGCAGATTAACTAGGTAATGTGCACATTAACTGATTTCTCACTTTAACTGTAACAGCTACATGATATAGTTAAGCTATTCTATTATTTGAGGGGGTTAACGTGCAGTCGATATAAGGCCCAAAGGAGGTGTTTAAAATATTACAAATAGTAAGACATTCTACTGGCTGGGTCATTTTTCTGTTTTGTTATCTAAAAGATGCACAAAGAAAATTAACAAGCCTTATCTTGAAATGACCATTTGAATATTTACAAATGGAGGTCAACCCAAAAGTGCAATTTCTCTTTTAAATAAATGGCATTTGCTTATAAAATAGCACCGATAATGTCCAAATAAAAACAAAATATACAAATTCAAATTTCTAAACTGAATTAAGAGTGCCAGCAAATCTTAAAATTCAGAGTTGATGCAGCATTTTAGTGTACCAGCAAAATTAAAGAAAAAAATGCCAAAACCTAATTCAGCAATTTACTTTGTCCCAAGCCAATCACATTACCTTGCTGTAAGAATTCACCTGTAACAACCCAGCCAATTACATTATCTTGCTGTTAGAATTCACCTGTAACAACCCAGCCAATCACATTATCTTGCTGTTAGAATTCACCTGTAACAACCCAGCCCATCACATCATCTTGCTGTTAGAATTCACCTGTAACAACCCAGCCAATCACATTATCTTGCTGTCAGAATTCACCTGTAACAACCCAGCCAATCACATTATCTTGCTGTTAGAATTCACCTGCAACAACCCAGCCAATCACATTATCTTGCTGTTAGAATTCACCTGTAACAACCCAGCCAATCACATCATCTTGCTGTTAGAATTCACCTGTAACAACCCAGCCCATCACATTTAGAATTCACCTGTAACAACCCAGCCAATCACATTATCTTGCTGTTAGAATTCACCTGTAACAACCCAGCCAATCACATTATCTTGCAGTTAGAATTCACCTGTAACAACCCAGCCAATCACATTATCTTGCTGTTAGAATTCACCTGTAACAACCCAGCCAATCACATTATCTTGCTGTTAGAATTCACCTGTAACAACCCAGCCAATCACATTATCTTGCTCTTATAATTCACCTGTAACAACCCAGCCAATCACGTTATCTTGCTGTTAGAATTCACCTGTACCAACCCAGCCAATCACATTATCTTGCTGTTAGAATTCACCTGTAACAACCCAGCCAATCACATTATCTTGCTATTAGAATTCACCTGTAACAACCCAGCCAATCACATTATCTTGCTGTTAGAATTCACCTGTAACAACCCAGCCAATCACATTATCTTGCAGTTAGAATTCACCTGTAACAACCCAGCCAATCACATTATCTTGCTGTTAGAATTCACCTGTAACAACCCAGCCATTGTCTTGTAGTTATAATTCATGGGTGTAAACCCCCAGCATCAAAGCTATAAACTAACTTTTAACCTCCCAACTACAAGCAATTCTGGTTTTACAAATATTAACATATTTATTTAAAATGTGGAAGCACAGTTAGAACAGAATGTGGTATAAAATGGTATGTTCATGCAGGGAGGTATTTTGCTCACCATTAACAGAATTGGCCTGTGTTCCGTGCACACAAGCATTCAGTATTGGATCCAGACTCCCACTGCACAAGGCTGAAGGACTGTTGGGAGTGGAATTTGGGGAACTAGGTGTAGATGGATCCCGAAGTTCCGAAGAGATAGTAGAACCTGGCAAAAAATAAATAAATGTTTATACCAAATAGGAAGCATGTTCACACAGCTGGGAACCCAACTAAAGGTTAACACAGTTGTGATCACCACATTTATAAAATCAATTAGGCATATAAACACTCACCATGCAAGAACCATCCATTCTTCAAATAGATCCAAAAGTCACTACTGTGAATTAATTAATACCACAGTCCTATAAACAAGCTAGTATTAGAAAACTGATCCTTTGTATTGTAAGCTTCAACTGTATAGATCTGTATATTAAAGAGTCTTGGTTTTAGCCTAGAACCAGGGCTGTATTTGCCGCGAGGCAAACAAGCGCCCAGGCAAATGCCCAGGCAAATGTCCTGAGGGGCTCCAAGAGTTGGTCAGTTGGCCACCTTAGGGCCCCGCCGAGGCAGCCAAAGCCTGCAAGGAACTTGCCCGCCCAGCCAGCATCCCCAGCAAGGTAGCCCAAGAGGTAGGGAGGTTGCGTGGATTTAAATTACAATGTGTGTATGTGTGTCATTGTCATTGAGTGAGTGAGTGTGTGTGGCTGTCAGTGAGTGTGTGTGTGTCTGTTAGTGTGTGTGTGTCTGTGTGTCAGTGAGTGTGTGTATCCTGTCAGAGAGTGTGTCTGTGTCTGTCATTGAGTGAGTGTGTGTGGATGTCAGTGAGTGAGTGTGTGTCAGTCAGTGTGTGTCTGTCAGGATGTGTGTGTGTCAGTGAGTGTGTATGTGTGTGTCTGTCAGTAAGTGTGTGTAGCTGTCAGTGTGTGTCTGTGAGTGAGTGAATATGTGTCAAATCAGTGAGGATGTTTGTGTCAATGTGTGTCTGCCTGTGAGTGTATGTCAGTGTATGTGTATCAGTGAAAACGTGAGTTGTTTAAACAATGTGTGTCCCAATGACTGTGTATCTGTCAGTGAGTGCATGTCTGTGCATGTGTCAATGAGGGTGTGCGTCTGTCAGTCAAAAAAGTGGCCTTGACACGAAGTGGTGGGGCGAATTAAGATTAGGGGGGTGACCGAATTTAGTCATCTCTGGGCAGCACAAATCCAAAATACACCAATGCCTAGAACCTTTACTTACTGAATAGAGTCATTAGGCTCCCATATACCATTGTATATACTGTGGAGGCATTGGCCACCTGTATTGATATATTTGTCACACCTATTGTATATGATGAAACAATCACTTCTGCATTAATGGTTCCAAACCAGTCTTGTCTTGAGTACAGTAAAAACAGGCATGTATAATCTCTAAAACTTGTCATAATACTAATGAGGGTAAAATCTTAATGGATACATGAAAAATTTAAATTGTGCATATTTACAAAATGTTAATGTTTTAGGTGTCTTTGGACATAAGTAAATACACAACATTGCTGTGTAATTATTTTTTGTCAGGTCCACAGTTAAAGGACCACTCTAGGCACCCAGACCACTTCAGCTTAATGAAGTGGTCTGGGTGCCAGGTCCAGCTAGGGTTAACCCATTTTTTCATAAACATAGCAGTTTCAGAGAAACTGCTATGTTTATGAATGGGTTAAGCCTTCCCCTATTTCCTCTAGTGGCTGTCTCACTGACAGCCACTAGAGGCGCCTGCGTGCTTCTCACTGTGATTTTCACAGTGAGAGTACGCCAGCGTCCATAGGAAAGCATTATGAATGCTTTCCTATGTGACCGGCTGAATGCGCGCGCAGCTCTTGCCGCGCGTGCACATTCAGCCGACGGGGAGGAGAAGAGGAGGATCGGAGGAGGAGAGCTCTCCGCCCAGCACTGGAAAAAGGTAAGTTTTACCCCTTTTCCCCTTTCCAGAGCCGGGCGGGAGGGTGTCCCTGAGGGTGGGGGCACCCTCAGGGCACTATAGTGCCAGGAAAACGAGTATGTTTTCCTGGCACTATAGTGGTCCTTTAAACCAAATGTAAAAATCAAAGGGGCACTATAGGTACCAGGGCAACTTTAGTTTAATAAAGCGGCTGTGGTGTATAGATCATGCCCAGGCAGTCTTACAGCTCAGTTGACTGTACACCAAAATTGCTTCATTAAGTTAAAGTTGTTTTGGTGCTTAGAATAGTCATTTAACAAAAAGCACACAAATGTAAAGGTGTTAAAAGCAAACGACATTACGTCAAGTCATGCTATTGCACAAAAATAAACATGCTTTTTCTTTTTTTTAACACTGCTTTATGAAACGCCATCTGTAGAAGAAAACTATTCTACAAGCTGCCAAAATGTATTTCGTATAAGATAAACAGAAAACACAATGCATTAATACAATACCACTGTCAAAATATTGACATCCTCGTCCTCAACAATAGATATTGAGTTTGTAAATACACGATTTGTACAGGACAATAAAAAACCAAATGTTTATTAATTATAATTTAACTATAATTTAAAATTAGTCCAGCAGCCAGATTGTTGGTGTCCGTAATAATCTTATTTCAAATCATCCTTGGCATATTTATGTTCTAGTAATACTATTAAATAATAGAATCGAATAATTTAATAATAGAATGCAAAAATGAAATTATGTGTGTTAAAGGTATAGGAATGTATCATCCAAAAATGATTGGGGCCTTTTTCCTAAAGTGAGAATTGTGATTGACATACAGTTTGTGGGGAACATTAATTCATACAGACCAGGTGTAGTCAGATGGATGGAGAGTCTTTATTCCCATACAAACACGGTGTACAGTTCATGTATGGCAGGAAGGCATCTATAGGGGTTTCCCCACGCTATGCAAGCTTAGTCAGCTCTGAGCTGTGATTGGTTGGCTTAATCATTTGATCTGTGAATTAAATGGCAGGAAAATGCACCTACCATTGTACTGCAAAAATATATACATAATATTTATATTATGTATATATTTTGCAGGAGACTGATTTGCTAATTGTGCGTCAAAATCGGCCGAATAATTTAAATGGACAAATACCGTACACACAAAATTTGGACCACTTGGACCCATTTTTTTAAATTATTATTATTAATATGTTTGGCCGTACCTTATTTTTTTTATTTAGTTCAAAAAAAATGATTAGGGAGTACAGCATCCCACTGCAAAAATAGTTCAAAAGGAATACACTCTGAAGTCACATGTGATTTAATGCCGTACTACATCACATGATAACATGTTTAGGAATAGAAAAAAAAAACATTTTGTCACAACAGATTATATTTGCTGCAGACATAATAAAAAACAATATGTAATAGGAGCCTCTATTTGTCTGTACATTGTGTCTGCTACCCGTCATGTATGTGTGAATCATGAATTCAAAGTGTTTCCCATGGGCAGAGAGTGTGGAATGAACATAGACTTCATGAGATATGACTGCACTGACAGCACGAGCCGTATTCACATAATCAATTACTGGTAGAAACAGCTTATGTGTTAGAATGGGCATGACAAGAGTGTCACAGTAAATAATTCATGCTTGAAATCGTAACCGAAGATTATTTTTAAAAAATAAACAATTTCTGTACAAATATTCTCGATGTGGCCATGACTTGTAAATACTGCAATGAGATAAAACGTGTTTGCTCAAAATGTTAGGTTAGCTACTATTCCATCTAATCTGATTTAATCCAATATTTTATTTTTTTCTCAAATGGCTTTTAATTGACAAAAATCAACCCTTTCACTGCATTGGTGACAAAGGACACTGGTGAGTTTTAATATTTATATAAAGAGGGGACCTACTGTCCACCCCAGCCCCCAACCATGGTTGGCAGGTCTATTATTGCTAGCATCCATGACTAGCTGGTGTGGGATTTAAACCCCTTCTATGGGACCCCAAACCTCTCACCAACCCCTAGCCCAATTAAAGAAAACCTACCTACTTCCATCACCCTAATTAGAATGAAAGGGGCTATAAAACTATCACCTGTTAAAAAGAAATTCATACTTACCATAAGAATATTGATCTTTTTTTCTTCAGCCCCCAAAACTTTGAAAATAAAAAATAACATTGAGAGAGGCCCCCTACTTTGGCTAGTGTCATGTCCTTAAAGATCACTTCTCTCACTGTTAAGGGGTTCAATGCGCCCAAAAAAAGGCATCTCATGTTTCGATTGAATTCAGACATAGCCTTTCTTCAGGAGATACATCTTCCAGTACAAGCTAAGTTTGTTTTGCAGGATCATACCTATCACACTACTACTGAAGCTAGATTATTTCGCAAATGGAATGGAGAAGCCATTCTTGTGCATAATAGGTGTCCATTCCGTATTACTGGGTCTGACGTGGATCCTGAGGGGAGATATGCTGTAATTTCCAAGTACCTGTGTCCTCCACAATGCACTTTGTTAATATCTAAGCACCCAATGAGCCATTTATGAGTCATTTATGATGCTTTGCTGCATGGGATGCTTATACTTGGTGGCGACTTTAATGCAGTTCCGTGTCCCGCCATGGACAGGAGCTCTCACAGAAGTTCATTGCAATCACAGGGTAGAGAGGGGAGCCTTGTTGAGTTCTGGAGGGCGCATCACCCTAGCAATGTTGATTATACCTTCCCCTCCCCCTTGTAGGGGTTTCCCCACGCTATGCAAGCTCAATCAGGGCGTTTTGATTGGTTGGCTTAACCATTTGATCTGCAAATGTAAGGACAATTCACCTATCAGTATACTGTAAAATATATACACATAATACTTATATTACGTATATATTTTGCAGGACACCGATTGGCCAATTTTTACATCCAAATCGTTTCAATGGACAAAAAAACATTTTGGTCCACCAGAGCTAATTTGTTTTTTCAAACAAATTAATTTGGCCAAACCATGTTTTTTTTTTCCTGTGCCTAAGTCTAGTAAGAAAGGTATCCCACTGAGTGTTAGGGAATGCCGTGGATGGTAGCTATGGTGACAGGATGGATACCTTCTATATAAACTGGATCGGGGGATTCTTGGAATTCATGCCCAGGGTTTAGCTTAGCACTGATTTAGACCCGTTTACCCTGATTCAAGCTGAATTTATTTGTAACTGTTCCATATCCTTGACATTTGTGTTTTGTTTGGCTTCTTATTCCTTTATTACCCCCTGCGGTTTATTTCCGGCAGCCTGGAGTTAACAAGCATTGCCCGAACGGACTTGGGGAGTCACAACTTCCTTTTGATTGGGGCAGACTGAAGAGGACTTTTGGGAATAATGGCATAGAAACTGCCTGTTAGTTGTTTCTAACCAACTGCCAGTATTTTTAATATTGATGGCTTAACATATAGCTGAGGCTATCGTGCCCAATAATATTGACGTGTCACTGGTTTATTGGGATTGGGTGGGATCTACAGGAGATTGATTCGATAGGTCAGCAGTCATGTCCAAATTTAAATAATGCAAGACGCCTGGTCCAATTAAAGTAGTGGTATCAAATGCAGTCCTGAAGGAGCCCCAACAGTGCAGAATTTAGGAATATCCCAGTGATCTTCCAATGAGCACATGGTTGAGAAACGCAGAGGGTTGAAATACATTGTTATCCTTTAGAAGAAGTACCTTATCTGGCAGATAATTCCATGAAATATACTTAGATAATGCAAGCAGCTGGCACACACGATCCCAACTTTCTATTGAGCTAAGCTGTGTTATTCCTTTTATCTTGCACAGTGTAATCTTTTTAGTCTTACTGTATAATTAATGCCCTTTGACAAATCCGCTAAATAAAATATAAGCCAGAAACTACATTATTAATGTAATGCTATGAGGTTTCTGGAGTTAGCAGATTATTGTGTTACTGTTACCACAGTGGCTACAGTGTGTTTTTTGAACACATAGAGTGCAGCACTTTAGGGGTTTGCTAACTAGTGAGTTATGGGCAACCGATTAGAAAAATGTATAAATAAAAACTAAGCAAGAATCATGACCAAATTAGAATTTTCCCCACTTACAGACAGAATAAAACTGTACTAAAAAATAAATTTAGCAGAAAAGTGAATGAAAAACATATTAATGACCACAATACAGTGGAGAAGTAAAAAAAACTAAACCAAAAACACGTATAAACACAATACAATAGTATAATGAAACCTAAATAATAAAAGAAATGCAATAACATGTTTATTCCACCAAATACCAGCCACAAACATCAAACTTTAGTGTATAATAAAAATAAAATGAGGGGTAAAAATCCCCTAGCATAAAAGGTTCTAAAAATGTAATAATAAAAAGTAAAGTTGACTTACAAAGAAAATGGAGATAAATGCACAACCAAATTTAATGATATCTAGACCAAAGGACCATGAAGTCCAATGAGATAATGCACCACTTGGGGGAATAAGTGGGGAAAGAAAACTTAATTATCCCTCATAGTGGGAATAGTTCCCCTTGTCCTCCGATTAGGACAAACTTTTGTATCAAATCTCCATACAAAGACTCCAAAATTACGAAAGCATTAAATAGAGGAGCTGGGTGTCTAGATGGTGACCTCTAAAGTCCTACGTGTTTTTACTACTTTGTCATTGACTTAAAAAGTTTGTGATCTGTGTGTCAACTTATCAAAACATACTAAGTAAGTGAATACCTCTGTTACTGTGAGCAGAGATGTAAAAATGAATAAAAGTTGTCAAAATGAATATTACAACTCAGGAATCAATGAGAGATTTATTGAGTTACTTGTTCTATGAGCTAGTGAAGAGGTAGTCAAGAAAGCTCTGTGTTTCTTGGAGCCATAAGTCCTAGAATATGTGAAACTCTGGATAGTACACATCTCTCCAGTCAACATTCATTAAATATGTTTATAATGTACCCTTAGAATTCTTCCATAAAGTAATTTTGTAACCTATATACATACCTAAAATGCGGACTTGCATGATGGCTCCATGGAGACCAAAAAACATCCAGAGAGGGTGTGAACAGTCTACACATACTTGCATTCCTGTGCTGGTACCATTATGACTCAAATGTAGTTCCCCTTCAGCATTTATCATAAATCCCAATATGTCTCCACTCTGGAGAGGCACCAGAACCCTACAAACTGCCCAGAACTCTTTCCTGTCAACCAGTGATTCTGGGTTATACGGAAGGTCACTTGGTCTAAGTGTGCTGGGGTCACAAGTTGTCACTCCATAAGACAAAGTTCCTGACCGAGAAGAATTTGATTTGTTGATTTTGACGAAGATTGTTTCATTAATTCTAAGCGGTCTGTTAGTGAACACTAAAGTCCTCTCTTCTCTAGCATGTTCCAGTCTGGCAACTGTTTGGTCATCTAAAGTCTTGATATGGGCTCCTTTGAGGTGATGAAAACGGAGGTCACTTTCCAGCTGTGATGGGAGTAAGTGAGAATGCTGGGAATTTAGGGAGTTCTGTGGGATGGGACACATAGTGGTCATGGTTTGGAAATTCTCCTCCTGTAAGTTTAGATCACACAGACTGACAGACAAGCGAGTTTCTTCTGTTTCTCTTCGCAAGGATGGTCTAGGGATGGCCGTGAAGGATCTTGGGCGTAAACAATCAGGAGGAATGATTTCACTTTCTGCAATTGAAACACAAACATGTCAATGCAACTTACAATATGACTGTTACATGCAAGGCAATATGGGTTTCCAGCCATAGATACGCATATAAAATAATCTAATGTTATATGGGTGCAAGAAAAATATTTCTTAATCACTATCTCCAAAAGATTACAAATTCTCTGCTACTAATCCAGCTATAACGCACCAACCTACGTACAGATCAGGTCCACTCTCTCAGGAGTCCTGACATGTAAAGTTATATTGACACCTGCTCTTCAAGACGGTCATGATACAAACACTTGAAGAACTTTAAAAAGTTGTAACTTTTGTATATTAGAATATTTAAAGTTTTATTTTTCCTCATGAAATTCAACTCTGGGCAACATCTCTCTGGTCCAAGACAAGTAAATATACTGCAATAGAATGTGTGTGGCAACAAAGGATTTATCAGTTCTAGACTAGACAAAAAATAGGCTTCAAAGCATTGACAGACTTGCCAAGAATATGATCTCCCCATTCCATTGCTAATGAGATCTGCCAAGTATTATAGAACCATTCTCTATCCTTCTCATTCTTTTACAATCAGTTTATAGAACGTTGTGAATATGGTTGGTTGGTTGATTGATGGATAGGGTGTGCCATTTTAAACCACTTGCCCCAATCAAACAGCTGCCAGTCATGTTCTACACGACAGCCGTATGTTTATTGAATAGCTAAGTCTTAGTTCAATGATTATGCACACATGAATTATTTGAAAACTATCAAGATGTGGTAAACACTGCTATTTATCGCATATCTGGGATAATAAACAAACATGATATGTGCATAAATTATAATCCAACTTCCAGATTCTACATAATTTTGACATATTTATTCTGTTGTGATTTTGCAGCTGTCATTTTGAAAAGTGGATGCAATGCCAGATCGAGAGATGATTGCAATGCATGGGGGTGGAGGGGGTTCTGTATACAAAATGTTGGGCAATTAAAGCATTAATACATACATGCAGGTGAATTGTATAGATTGGCTAAGGTGTGATACCCAGAATCAACGATGGCAAAGTATTCTGGGTGTTGTAGTCATCACGTTCAGCTTTGACCACTTTCCATTTGATTGTCAAGGGTAAGGAAACAGGTGTCCTGAGGCACCATTTATACTTAAACATAACAACTGTGTTTACTACACAACATTCTATATAAAGCAAACATCTGTAGCTGGGGAATGTATTGTAGCAATTACATCGTAGACACAAATTGTAACGGCCAGAAGATCTGAGGAGTACACAGAGGAAACGTAGTTAACAGAAAGACAAAAGACTGGGCAAAGGAAATATTAAAAGGGAGAGAACTGCGTCAAAGATGGCAAGATCTGGTTATGGGGAGCGCAGTCTGCTCAAATCTACACTTGTTTCTAGATGAGACTCAATCATTCGAATTATGTATGCATTTTCCTAGTAAATTCAATGTGTATATTGATTTTGATAGATCGGAAATTAGGTTGTTTGAGAGAACCGTTAGAAAGATATCATTTGTATTTTGCCTGTGTTCAATAAACAGATGTCGGGAAAAAATTGAGGTTAAGAGACAGAACGAGGTCAAACAGAGGGTAATAAAGAACAGAACAGAGGACAAGAACATGGCAGAAGAGGGGATAAGAAAATAACCCTAGGAAGAGTCCAACTAAAAAGGCACAACCTCAATGTCACTGCTGTTTAAACAATTTTTTTTTTTTTTAAATGGCGGCCCCTAAATCTAAATGGACAACTGGACACTCCAGTTTAGAAAATAAATGCCTTTATTTCTAATGTTCGGGGGTCTTTAAAAAGGACCACTATAGTGCCAGGAAAGCACTTTTCCTGGCTATATTGGCCCTCTAAAGTTCTCCCCTCCCTTGACTCTGGAAGGGAAAAGGGGGTAAAACTTACTTTTCCAGCTGGGCAGGGAAGGCTCTCCTCCTCGATCCTCCTCGGTGCAGATACTTTTTAGCGGCAAGAGCTTTCTTGCTTGGCACTAACAGTCCTCAGGAAAGCATTCATAATGCTTTCCTGCTAAGTGCTTCATATATACTCACTGAAAATCACAGAGAAGCATAGCATACAATAAGCATGGCGAATAGTACTAAGAGAAGTAGGGAAGGCTTAATCCATTGATAAACATAGCAGTTTCTCTGAAACTGCTATGTTTATGAAGAAATGGGTTAACCCTAGCTGGACCTGGCACCCAGACCACTTCATTAAGCTGAAGTGGTCTGGGTGCCTACAGTGGTCCTTTAAGTAATCAAGTAAGCAAGGTTGATTCTATAACTATTTAACGTGTCCAAAAAGGATTGTGTAACACCCCAAAACACTTGGGGACAGCCAGGGAAAATCATAGCATCTGCCTGTGACTAATTCAGCGTGGGTGTGTTTCAGCAACAATGTCTGGCAGGAATAGCAGTTATAAGCCACTCATCTCCCAGGTACAGAGGAAAAGCACCTCATCGCACCATACGCTATGCAAGAAATGTACACTGTTAATGGATTTGGAGTGTCCCTTTAACTAAATTCCTCAAACAATATACAATACCAATTTCTTGCTCTCTGCTGAATATTTTCCTTTCAATGCAATACCACACACCAACTTCAATCAATAATTAAACCAGTACAATAAATGCATTAAAGATTGATCTAGGGACTTCTTTTTAGTAATGAAACTAATATTAAATATAGAAAACCTCAGCACATTATTTACAGTCTGTTAGCATTCACATGCAAAGTGCTATTTTGAAAGGGAGGTTCTATGGGATACAGGATTCCTGATCGCAAGTTCTCATTACCATCTTACATGTTACAGTGTGAGCAGATGAATGTAACGCAAGCCAACATCTGAGAGACATTCATCAGTAAACATAATTTCCATTAGCAGCATTTTACATTTAATTCGAATTAATTTCTCTGTAGTAAGCAGCAAATTGACAGATGAAACAAACACAGTAATCAAGGCTTTAATAATTCTTGGCATTTTAATACAGTTTCGCTTTAGGGTGCAATAAAGCCTTTAAGGAACACTATAGTGTTAGGCATACAAATCTATAGTGTTCTCTTCTTTATTTTAAATTCTAGCGCCCCCTCAGGGTATTTTTTACTTTTTTTTTTTCAGCGCAGGAATTAAGTCCTGCAGCCACCCGTCCTGCCTCCCCCGACCTCACTCCAACACATCTAACAGTCCAATCCATGCTTTAAATTGTAAGGTTAAAACTAAAGGACCAGTGCATGTCATTGAAACATAGTGATCTGTGTGCCTTTAGTGATGGTTTAAAGGGTTTAAAGGGTTATTCCAAGCACCATGACTACTTCAATGATTTGTAGTGGTCATGGTGCCTGGAATCTGTCACTAAAAAAACGCTGCACATACAGAGTTTAACCCTCCACCCCACCCCCCTCTCTCCATAACTCCATCTCTGGACACACCACTAGGGTATCATTAGCCAGCCCGTAACAAGAATTCTGGCCAGGATAATGTTAATTCTGTGCAAATTTAGTATCTGATACCAGCACGCAGAACATGCTGACACCAGACAGCATGGCCCGGCTCTGTGCGGTTTCTGTCCTCCTCTAAGCCAAAACCACCTGACATATGACCCCCTTCAGCAAGAGAGAGGATTGAACTGCAGAGGGGACATGGGATCCACTATAAAACAGAGATACATTTTATCTATATTCTTTCATTGTATTTTTTCTTGTCCATAGTTTTTGAAGGGGGGGAGGGGATTATATAGGAAGGGTTACCCTGACCAAAAACAGTATTTTTGCTGTTTGTTTGCAGCCCCACAGCTGAGATTGCCAAGACATGTCAATTTTACCACATGTTGACCAATATTCCCATATTACCCAGTATAAAACGAGGGATATCAAGGAGCCCACTGGATTTTTGTGCAAAGGAACCTATTCCTGGGTTAATTTAAGTACCATAACCACTACAGTTCGCTATAGTGTTTATAGTGCTATAGGGCTATGGACTACCCAGGTTGAATGGATTTAAGGTTAATATTCCAGAAGTGTAGTTTCCACATTATCAATGCAATGCAGATGGGGTAGAATTTGGAGACAATTTTCCTCTCCAAAATGGTTTAACAAAGAAAAGAGGGATGATGCTCACGGACTTTAGAACCATAAACACTAAAGTAAACTGTATTAGAGTACTTCGATAATTAGACTGCCCCTTCAAACACTGTAAGGGCTACAGCAAAGATTCTGGGTTTTTTCTACTCTCAATGTCCAGTGCCACCAATGTCTGTGTATGGACTGATAGATACGTCCTCTATTAACATATCCCGCGTTAGATATTATGAATCTTGTGATCTGTGCGTAACAAAGTGGGCTTTATTTTGTCTATTGTTTGTTAAAATGTTCTGCATCAGGATGGCGACATTTTGTGTGAATTACCAGCATACACGTCAATTTGTTCTGTTGTAGTAGCTGAATACATTTTCCAGCTTCCAGAGAAAATGTATTTTTGGGGGGAAAGAAAAACGTGTCTCCATTTGTAATGCGGGTAACAATCTTAAAATATCCATGTCTTCAGGATCCAAGTTTTAGGATATTAACATTTGTCAGTGGTTAAAAGCAGTTTATTTACATTATTTAGGAAATGTGACCATTTCTCTAGGGCAGGAATGGGTTAAAAACTCAGCTACTTTAAAACTTCTCCTAAAATGTCAGGAACAATATTTTTTATTTTTCCTTCCGTGAGGTTTCTCCTTATGGAACACGCTACTGTGACTGACAGCACTGCAAAACAAGAGATTCTTTAGCAACCAATAAATTGGTCATAAACTTGGGATTAACTCTATGTTTGGGAATCACATCATTCGCCAACACAGCTATAAAAGTATTTACACTAGCGGTCTAGCCAATCCAAAGAATCCAATGATGCTTGCCTACTAAGCAATATGATGAAAGGCCTTCCATTCCTTACTAATGGCTGAAGCCTTAAAATAGAGCGCTTACTAAAATAAGGCAGGAAAATGATTTATTGGGGAGGACTAAAATTAGAACGACTGATCAGTAGCCATAAAATGGATTTGCACTTCAAGTTGTGCAGTTA